TCCTTTCCCAGGGACCCTTCAGAAAACAGGCAAGTGGTTCTCCCTAAGGTCCTTCACCTTTCACTAGTGTGAATTTGTTCTAGTAACCAAAGATGCTTTCAAAATGAATGCTTTAAATACGTCCCCCACCCTTGGCACCACTTGGTGGTACCACTACAGTCCCATTTTGATAGCGGGAAATCATAGTCCTAGGGGCCCTCTACCTTGCCCCAGTAATGATTTGAAGCACACTTCAAAGATAAGGGGTATAATTGCTGACCTTTAACCCGTATATTAAAACACAAAGTGAAAAACAACAAAGTTCAGGTTACCTAACTGGCCTTTTCTAGTCATTGGAACCTGTCAAAAAGTTGACAAGGGATACTTCCTAAGGCCCTTAACTTTTTACCAGTTTAGTGTTAGTTTGTTCTAGTGGTCAATGATGGTTGAAAAATGAATGCTTGAAATATGTTCCCCACCGTTGGCACCACTTGGTGGTGTCACTGCAGCCTCATACCGATTGCGGGAAATGATAGTCCTAGAATCCTTCTATCTTGCCACAGTAATGATTTCAAACTTCTAAGAGGTATAATAGCTGCTTGAAATATGTAACCCGCCCTTGGCACCACTTGGTGGTACCACTTCAGATTAATTTTTATGGCCGTACATAATAGCCCTGTGGACCCTTTACCTTGTGCCAGTTATTGTTCGAAGCACACTTCAAGGATAATAACTTAAAATAGATTAAATTACCTTCAAACCCTTATCAATGTAAATATTAGGAGTAAGCAAATTTCAGGTTAGACTTTTGGCACCGTCATGTTCCTGAGACCCGTAAAAGAGCTTAAAAGGGATTCTCCCGGAAGTACTTAACCTATTTCCAATGTTGGTGTCTTTTTAAGCGGTCAAAGATAGTGACATTTTCTTTTTTGTTTGTTTGTTTCTTTTGAAACCGCATAATTTTCTTTATGCAGGTGAGCTTAACTGCCTCCAAGTGTTTGAATTATTAAATAATTAGGTGTTGCATTAATTATCTAATTATTAATCATAAATTGCGAAAATGAGGTATTAAACAGTATTTCGTCAGAGTACTCTCAGTCCTTTGATGAATTTCCTTATTGGCTGCTAGCTTCTACGGGCTTAGTGGCTGCTGTTATTCGCTGCTAGCTTCTACGGGCTTAGTGGCTGCTGTTATTGGCTGCTAGCTTCAGTCTAGTACATTCTTGCCGTGCTGCAATAGATGAGACCAAACGTTGTATTTATTTGATATATTAAAAATTATTATATATCTGAATGAAATTTTAAGGTAAAAGTGAAAATAGAGGTATTAGTATATGAGATTTTGTTGATAACTTCCGATTCTTACAGATTTTATAATAGTTGTGACTTTACTTCAGGATGAACCCTCGTATTATTCATCGTTTCAACGTAATCAAAAATATAATCTATTTCTTTTATCCAAAAGAGTATATATTTGTTTAAAATGAAACACAACATACGCCAGATACGAGCTAGTACAAGCTTTAATATCTCAAATGAGATTTTTTTAATCAAATAACCTGTCATAAAGACCGTTATTGATGACATGCTTGGATGGTGGCGTATTTTGATTAAAAAAATGAAATACACTACTAGAATACACAATATTCCCGTCTGAATCTACATGATGCATATCGCTATGTATACTCACAAACTGTGACTATCATTTTCAACTACATTAGAACTTAAGTTCTACACATCTGAAGTTCTCCATAATGTACACGATTTCCCACTATGAATTAAAGACCAGGTTTTTGAAATCATAGACAATTGTTTATTCAATAAAAATGGAACATGTAAATTTGCATACCTTGTCATTGGTCATCTGCAAAGCCATTTTGTTAAAAACAAATTCTTCATGGTGTACACTGTACAAAGTAGGATTAAGTATATTAAATACAGCCAACCTCGTTATCTCGAATTCAATGGGACCTAGAAAAACTCGGGATATCCAAGGATTCGAGATATCCATGATAAAATACTTAAAGAATAAGTGGTTGGGACTTCAAAATCACTTCGACATATCCATGATATTCGAGATAACGAAGTTTAACTGTATTGTATTTAATTGTTATGTATGTCATCGTCCGTTTCATTGGTAGAAAAGTCATTGCATGCTACAGAAATCAATACAGGTTGCTTGCTTAGCGGCGTATAAGTATTGATGAATGAATGTAGTTTTCATAAGAAATAAAGGCAATAATAACCCGCTCCAAAAACTTTAACCTTTTCACTAATTTAAAAAAATGTAGATCAGATCCAGCATCTGTAGCAATTCTAGTAGCATGCATCCCTAGATGCATCATTCATGATGTCACCAAAGGGATTTTAGGTACCTGGGAATGGACCTGCTCTGAAAACTTTAGTCTGGCCACTCACTGAGCAAATGTACTTCAGATCTAGCATGTGAAGCTGTCTGGTAGTGTGCATCTCTAGATGTACTTTGATGTACGTGGTCACCCATCTGAAAAATGAAGGTCAAATCTAGCATCAGAAGGAAGTCTGTTAGTGTGCATCCCTTTATGCACCATCCAGGCAAATTTGGTCCAGGTAGATTTCATAGTTACTTTGGATGAACCTGCTCCAAAAACTTTAATCTGGTCACTTATCTGAAAAATGAAAGTCAAATTCAGGACCTGAAGCAACTCTTGTAGTATGCACCACAGACACTTGATTCGGTTAGAGCTAGGGCTTTCATATTTCATATGTGTATTCCTTGTGACAAGACCTTTCTTTGGGTACCACCATATTTGATCTTCTGATCTTGACCTTGGAGTTTGACCCAGTTTTTGAAAAATTTTACCAAACTTTAACCTTGACCATAACAATTGGTGCTAGGGCTTTCATACTTCACGTATATAATACTTGTGACAAGACCTTCCTATGGATACCAACAACTTTGACCTTTTGACCTTTACCTTGGAGTTTGACCTACTTTTGAAAAACTTTAACCTTGGCCATAACTTTTGAACGGTTGGTGCTAGGGCTTTCATACTTTACATGTGTAATCCTTGTGACAAGACCTTCTTTGGATACCAACAACTTTGACCCTTTGACCTTGGAGTTTGACCTACTTTTGGAAAACTTTAACCTTGGCCATAACTTTTGAACGGTTGGTGCTTGTGCTTTCAAACTTCACATGTGTATTTCTTGTGACAAGACTTTCCTTTGGATACCAACAATTTTAGTATTTACCTTGGAGTTTGACCTACTTTTAAAAAACTTTAACTTTGGCCATAACATGTGAACGTTTGGTTCTAGGGCTTTCACATTTCATGAACATTTGTATCACTTGTGACAAGACCTTCCCTTGGGGCCCCATTTGACCTTGACGTTTTACTTACTTTTAAAAAACTTTAACCTTGGCCATAACTTTTGAACAGGAGGTGCTAGGGCTTTCAAATTTTACAGGTATATTCCTCAAGACAAGACCTTTCTTTGGGTACCAACATTTCTGATCTCTTGACCTGGAGTTTGACTTGCATTTGAGAATTAAACTTTAACCTTCGCCATAAGCTGCCATACGGGGCATCAGTGTTTCACAAACACCTTGTTTTTTTTTATCTCTCAATCAATCACATTATGCCTTTCGGTGATAAACAATGCTTTCAGTGATAAACAATGCGTAAAACTTGCATTTTAGGTGTCAACTGATTCCATCTCTACTTCAATTTGATTGGTGCTTCTCAACAAGAGAAGCAAGTCCGACGATATCGAATGAGATATGTCAGGGGTCCAATGGCAACGTGTTGACTTAGGACCCCCGACGTTATGAGGATGCTTTAAAATGAACCTCCTCCAAAAACTTTAACCTGGTCACTCAAACAGAAAACGTAGGTCAGACCCAGCATCCAAATCAAGCCTGGAAGTGTGAATCCCTAGATGCATCATCCATGCAAGTTAAGTACAGGTGGAGTGTATAGTTACTTGGGAATGAGACCTGCTCCGAATTTCCTGACAATTCTTTGACCGAAAATGCAGACTGGTGACAATGAAACCTACTAGATGCACCATCCAGGCAACTCTGGTCAATATTGAGTAGAGAAGTACTTGGAAAGAAATCTGCTCCAAAAACTTTAACTTGGTCACCAACTTCAAGGGCAAGGGTATAATATAAGCTCCTCCAACTTCATTGACGTGAACTAAAAAAAAACTTTTTTGCAAAGGCGGTGGAGGATGGGGGAGAGGCGTTGTTTGGTTGCCATCTTACCTAAAAGAAATTCTTTTTCCCCGGGGGTCGGGGGAGGGGGCATTCCAATGTTATTTTATTTTACTACATAAATATATATTTCTGAAAATCCAAAGGAAATCTGGACCTCTACTGGATATGCTTCTGAAGAGAATATAAATTTTCAAAAATTAATATTGTTTGCATTCTCTTGAACGATTCATTCTCATTTTTTCTACAGTACATACATGTACTATAAAATATATTCATGTGTATGTATATATATTTATCCCATGTTTACCCCTTTATCCCGTGGATATGACTCATTGGATAATTTTTTCATAATCCACAGTTGTGACGTCACAACGGTTTTTGCGTTAGCGCGATGAAGTAAAATAAAGTGGAGTCCTACATAAAACAGTGTAAAACATTGGTTGTGAAGTATTAAACATGGGATAAAAAGAATCTCCCATGATTTGTAGTTGGATATGACTTTTATCCAACTCGTTGTGTGTTTTTATCCCCTCGCCAAGGCTCGGGGATAAAAAACACACAACTCGTTGGATAAAAGTCATATCCAACTACAAATCATGGGAGATCCTATATATATCAACCTCGAAGCAATTTAAATACAGTAATGTTTCCCTACCATTCACCTATTTCGATTTTACTAGACAAACCAGAAAAAACAACAATTACCAGGTACCCCATAAGGTTATTGATACTCTAGACTTTTTAGCTTAGTTATAAATCAAAATGAAGTTGAAATGACAATTTCATACTTCAATCCTCTAAATAAACTCAAAACTCAAAATATACTTTCAACATTTATTGTTAAATTAGGATTATTAGCAACCAGCAAAACAAATTAATCATTGTTGTATGAGCAATCAATATAAATAACATTATTGTAGTTTATTATAAACTTATTTTACTGTTGTCCGTTATATTCCTCACTCAGAGACATGTAATACTCACCAGAGGAAGGGGAGAGAACTCTTAATTCCCGCCACTTGCTTGACATCAAACTTTTGTCAATGAATTATGTTTACAGGATTTCTTCAATACTTTATATTCAGTTTTTTATAAGTGTATCAATATGTATTGATTAAAATGTCATCTGTCACATGAACAAAAAAAAATATCATGTATCTTAATTCAGAGAGTAAAAGATTGAAGTGAAATTGTAATAATTTGTGCATTAACTTCAGTACGCAGATAATAAACCTAAAGAACCTTTACAAGGCACAATGTACAGCTAACCATGCTGTCCACCTGACAAACATAATTAATTAATATCATTATGCTTACATTACACAACTTATTAATTTTAAAACATTACTACAAATGGTTTGTTACATATTGCATTAGTTCAAGTTAACAACAAAATGCAGAAATCAATTAAAATTGTTTATAAAATAAAATTAGAGTTTTTACCAATGAATTAAAATTCTACAGGCATGTCCTGAAATTATTTACTTTATTTTTAAAATTTTAAACAGAAATCAAGAATTTTCTCCAAAAAAGAAAGAATGCTCATGAACATAAACTGTACATGTAAATTACCTACTCCAAAACACAAACCTAACATCCAACATGACATGTAGCACCAAGAAAAATAACATAAATTAAAACAGTTGTACATCATTTCTGTGTACCTAGAAGTTAATTTTACATAAACCAGAACAGAACAAGAGAATAGTGAACTGTGTGTACAATGGCCTCCAGTTGTGTGCTTTCAGAGACCCAGTCCCTATTTGTGTCTGGAATGAAGTGACGAATCAATGAGATATGAGCACCACAGCACCTCCAAAGGGTACCAGCCCTGCCACAATAACAGAGGTGGCATCAATAGGTGGCAGCACTGATTCTGTACCAGTCTTTCACTATTGTCACTAGATGTCAGCACCAGGAGAAGAACGGTGTCCTGTGTTGGAAGCTCTGTGTGTACTGGTCACTGTCGGCACGTACACGGCGACCTTCCTTTGTCCTTTCCACAGTGACCACTGGCATCTGGACTAACTGTACAGGGGACTTACCGTCCTTTAAAGCTTGTGTCAAATTCAATATCTGTTAGGTAAAAAAAAAAAATCTAACATGAGTAATATTTTTGAAAAGATTTCTGCAAATCATCTTCACACTTCTTATAACTTATTATAAAAGTATCTTATGTCTACTCTATTGGCTTGCGTTACAGGTAATTCCAGGTAAAAAAAAATATATCTAAAATTGACATCCTTATTCAGAATAGTACTATTGAAAATTTGGGAAGAGAAATGTTTGCCATTTTGTTGCTATAGTAGCAGACCTGTCCTCTCATTACTCCCATTTGTTTGGTGAACGTCCTTTTATCAAATCCTTTGTCAGTCTGAAATTACAATCACATATATTTTATTTGTGAAGGGTCAATATCTATATCATACAATGTATGTTATGTATCATAAACTATGACATTTAATGTGATTATGTCTGCCTACAGGATTAAGTAACCATTAGTTTCCCTTATTAATGCTGATTAAAAAGCGTGAGTTCACGACAAAGACTCAAAAATCTTTAAGTCTATTCATATAAGAAGTCTTTTTATATGATATGAGTAGAGTCTAAAAGTGTTAATATATTGTAGCTTTAGATTACTTCAGCCAACTATCTAATCAATTATTAGTCATACAAATATGTTATGAAGAGACAAAATGAAAATGAAGAGAATTTGGACACCCTATTCCTAATAAATTAAATTTCTTTTCCTCTATTCCCTCCAATTTTTTTTACCAAGAAGTGGCAAAGAATGCAAAAATGTACATTTGATGAAATTGAAGTCCAGTTTAATTGAAAACATGAAAACTTTGAACTTCGACTATCCACCTAAAAAAAATTTGTAAAAGCTGACCTTGAACAAGTCATAGAGATCATCACAGAGGTCCTGTACAAAGTTCATATCTGACAGCTGAGGTAGAACTAGTTCTTTGACTTCATCTGAGAAGGGGACTTTGGCCTGCGGTAACCAGGCCCAATGGTATGGATCTACAAAAATATATAGGATTTTTATGTGAAAATTAGTCTTTTTTAATAATGAAAAACAGAGATCAAGACAAAGCCAGTGGTAACATTGTTTTCTTATTTGGAGCTAACACTCAGCTTCCCAAAAGAGAGGTTATGCCTCCCATCCCCATCCCTCAATCTCTAGGCATGAACTAAAAGTAGTCTTAAAGTCTTAAGTACAGCAAGATGTACATTTTATAGAAAAAAAAATTGGAACCTTTATAATGAATTTTCATTTGCATAATTTTAGATGATTTATTTTTATTGCTGAAAAATCCTTATAAATCAAATAATTTTAATGAGCCATTAATATTACATTTACTCAAGAAATCTCATTTTAGTAAATCCTCCCCTCCTGACTAATGGTGAGTTATTCTACTTCCTTTATTCCACAACTGTTTGCATTGAGGATATCTTGCAAATTATGTGATAATAAAATATGACGATCATAAGCATTAGATTCATTTTTCACCCTGTACCTATAACTTTTCATCATTCCAAAAATCAGACTTACATGCTCTCCATTCATCAGGGTGTTTAAATGGGAAAGCAAGACCATTGTCAATGGCAGCGATGGATATATCTGGATTTTCTACTAAACTCCACTCTCCTACCTAAAACAAAAGATTTCAATTTAGAGAAGGCTATATAGATTTAACCTTCCACAAATCAAAGAAGCTCCGTATGTACTAAAATTAACTTATACAAGAAATAATTTTACATTGACAGTGTTATTAGCATTGTCACTGAAATTCACATTAAAGTCTGTACATTTATAAATCTCTATATGCGTGTATTTACTGTATTTTTGCACTTTTAATGCCATCACTTTTGTATTATCCAGTACCTCATTAGCTCCCTTATGAAACTTAATGCAGACAGGTTTTTAGATTAATCCTGTAGCTTATTATCTCCCTTTTAAATAAAAAAAGACACTTTTTGTATCATCCTACCTCATTATCACCTTTAGGAACACTTGATGCTGGTTCGTACTTTATTAACCAATTGTCATTTCCCCTATCTAAATCAGAAATGATACAAATGTTATTTTATGGTCATCATAAACACTAAATTTAAAAACTTAAATCTTAAGTGTTTTCCCTACAGGTTAAAAAGTTATCCTTTAAACTCATTAACATATGTTTCCGAGTGTCAAGTACAAGCAAAGTATATACATCTATATGCTTTGTGGAAAATTAAAAATAAATTGATCCTACTGTGTTTTAGTTATCTCCCTTTGCTCCGACATACAAATCCTGAATTAAAACAAACTTCAAATAAAGCAACATACCTGTATTTCTAATTATATAATCTAAAACGACTAGTCTTTCAAACAAGTGCTGCAGTTTAGTTGCAGTAGAAACAGGTAAATCTTCAGTATCAAATTTTCGTAGCCAAAAATCTGCATCTTTGTATCCATTGACAAAGAGTTGAAAGGATCCTGTCTGCAGTGAGAACATAGTATTAAGTACCACTACAAGTACTGAGGTACATACAATCAATGACGTATCTTGACCACCCTCCTCCTTACCTTGGGGGGTAAGCCCAGTCGATGGAACTTCTTACCAACAGCTGGGACTTTTGTCATAATACTGTGTTTGGTTCTTGATTTTGCTCTGTCTATTGCATTATAATTAAATGTATCACTAGCTAATTTTACAACCTAGAAAAAAAATACAAAATATATATTAGCATTCATCATGTTTACAGACCAACAATGTGATTTTCAATGATTCTTGGAGATGCAAGGTGTTACACATGTATTTGTATCACAAATAAGCATGGTGCTACGACACAGGATTCTTTTCAAGCCCACTCTTTAGTTAAAAGTGTTTGCATGTTAATTATTGCCTCCTTTTGGATCTCCATTGCTGTTCAACCCAAAATTGGCAGCTACATTCTTAGGTACAATGTTTATACCTGCTTCAAAGATGACAATTTTTCAGGACAACTAGAGGAATATTTTTACCAAGTGAAGTTCAATAAGCTGTCATGTTACACAGTCTGACTGGAATTCTACATCCTCAAAATTGTAAAAACTATTCACCACAGAAGGAGCATTGTGAATAACTTGGAGTGAGACATATCATTATTTTAATCAAAGACAAAGGAATGCTTAGAATTGTTATAATATATTTTTTGTGTTCCACATAAGATCCAAGTCTTTGAAGACTTTCTGGATTATATAATCACATCAAACCCAAGTCGCTGACAACTCTCTGAAGTCAAATATCTATAGTGTCTCTAACCTTAGTATTAGGTACTATATTCAGTTGTAGCTTTCGGTCCACAAGACTAGCGCCGGCCTCTGATAAATAGCCTTGATTGGGAACAAGACAACTTCTACCAAAACAGCAGGGACAACACAACTTGTGCATCCATTTTGTCCACTTAGGATTCAGTTTTCCATACGGTTCCTCATCCTTTGGTTTAAATACACCAATAATGTTCTATGAAAAGAGGAATGAAAAAGTGAATTAACAATTACATACATTTTACATATACAATAATTTCTTAACTTTAAATCCTCTATATCATTTTGTGAAACAAAATGTGTGATAAATTGGCATTTATATTGAAAACTAATTCAACTTTTATTTAAAAATGTTCCCTCAACTTTATGCTGTTTGTAATAAGCTTTGTATTTGAACATTACAGAAATCTATATCAAGCTTTCTTAGTGTTCAACAATGTGAACTAGAACTGTCCAAAAGGGACAAATACCCCCCGCTGGGTTTTTCAGAGAAAGTACCAAATCACTAATGTTTTCTAGATGTGAGAGGTGTTCACAATTTCCTTAAACATTTACAGTGAAAATTCAATTACTCATTATATATTTTTAAACGTCCGTCTTACGACGGGACGTATTATGTTATAGCGTTCATGTTCGTCTGTCCGTTAGCTTTTTCATGTCCGGCTCATAACTTTAATACTATTAGGCCTAGAATTATCAAACTTTGTCAGCTGATACATCTAGGGTAGAAGGTGTTTCGCACATCAAAACCAGGTCGCTCTGACCTTTAATAAAGAGGCTATGGCCAAATATGGAAAAATCATAACTAGAAAACCATTAGACTTAGAATCCAAAAACTATGTCTTTTAACTTTTAAATTACACAATCCCAAAAGATGTCAGAGTATTGCAGTATCTTTATTAAAAAAGTGTTAAATCAAGAAAATACTAGTCTTATTTTTTTCATTATGTTCTTTACAGCAATCTGTAACAACAAAAATTCCACCTCTCCCATGGGTGTAATGATCAGGCACTGGTCAAGGAAAATTTTGATAGCAGAAAATTGCATGTCAAATTAGAGAGAAATTAATGAGTTTAGTGTGAGGAGATAACTGGTAGAGCATCTCTGATCAAGCAGGTGTTACCTACATCTCTTGGGAATTGGGCAAAAGGAATCAGTCTCTTAATTAATTGCTGGTGTTGTATTGAATTGTTCTTGTTGGCTAGTCTTACTTTCAAGATAAATTTGATGTAATTAAAACTAATTTGATATTGTATATAATAATTAAAACTTATATGATATTGTATAATATAATATAAACTAATTATTTATTGTACATTTTTTATTTGAATTTTTATATCTTTACAACAAATTGCAGACTGCCTTGTCTCGCTAAGATGTCATTCAAACAAATGAATCTATACTGTTTATGATAATTTAACAATATCTGATGGGCGTATCATGCTGTGGTGGGGCACTTTATTTAATGAATGAAACTAAGGTGCAGCCTAATAAAACATCAACACTAATAATTACAGTGTTTTTTATTACATTGAAAAAATAGTTTGCAACTATCTGCCATCTTTGTGAGACATGACACTCTGCAAATTGATTGTTGAAAAAAAAAATATCATAATTAATTATAGAAAATCAAATTGATTTTAATACCTTTATATCAAACTCATTTTAAAAATAAAAGGCTGGTTTTAGTAACTATGTATTTTGATAGACATAAATTACAATTAAGAAACTTAGACAACAGAGATCTTTATTTCTTTCTGCCCAATTCCAAGGAGATATAGATAAGACCTGCTTGATCAGAGATGTCCTAACAGCTTCCCACACTGAACTCATTAATTAATCTTTAACTGGATGCATGTCCACTCATTACTCCCAAGGGACAAATGGATTTACACTATCTGCTGTGTAATGTAAAAACTGTTTTTAATACTTTGTGTTTTTTTTTTAGTTCTAATGAGTAGTTTTAAGCTGTAGTTCACATTTTTGTACAGATGCTCTAGATTCTATGTCTCAAACCTTAGACATAAACCCGAAATGACTAAGCCAATAAATTAAATTAAAAAAAAAAACACCTGTAAAATGCAGAAAAATTATCAAATAATGTTGAAAATACCAGGTGCACATCTTCATATGGTAAATAATAAGTGTACAAATTTTCATACAAATCTATGCAATAGTCTCTGGGAGCAGATCCAGACAAAACCACATAATAAAAATGAAAAAAAAACCACCTGTAAAATGCAAAATAATTATCCAATCATAATGAAAATACCAGGTGCACACCTTCATACAGTGAATAATAAGTGTATAAATTTTCAGACAAATCCTTCCAACAGTTTCCAAGAAATGGTCCGGACAAAATCTCGTCTACAGACAGACGGACATGCTGATTCCAATATACCCCCCCCCCCCCCTAAACTTCGTTTGCGGGGGGTATAATTAACATCCATCAGTTTTATACATAGAACCCAAGGCTCCTGTCTGCAATATGCTACATCTATTATACCAAATATATACACATCTGTTTTCCCAATGTATAATGAAATATATATATTGCTAAACACCAGGTGTATTGTCACTTGAATTGATATCAGAATCATTAACAAGCAAAAAACTCCTTTGAGTCTATAGTACCCATGACCAAATTTCCTTTGAAAGTGAAGGGGGGGGGGGGGTTCAAGATATAATAACCATGTCTCTTAGTTTAACTATTTTCATTATCTGACAAGACATTAATCATGTTAGTATGTCTAAGGAACTAAAGCTGGTGAACATTTGGATTGAGAGTGATTCATTTCTCCTTTACTGCTACAATATCATAACTATACAATAAGCTGTGTATATATATATATAGTGTCTTTATAAATAAATTGAAGCACACAGAGAGAAGTCTGTAATGCAGGTACAAGTGTTGGGTCTATCTGGCCCACTGACAGATTGGACTTTATTCTACTGATCTTAGTTCATCATGCAAACTTTAAAATGAAAGGAGTTTGAGTTAGGTACACATATATTGGAAATACAAACATCTCTTCTTCAACTTCATTAAAAAAATTAACATAAGGTGGGACACTCCTTGTAAATGCAATGTCTGTGTGAATTACTGTATCTTGTCATCTTCAACATTCAAAGAAGCAGATGTATTTCTTGGATTATTTCCAACATGTCCAAAGAACACAAATTTTAATCACACAACTTACACCCTTTCTATCTTTCACAAAGTAACATCCACTTGTCCCTTTAGCGCTGAGTTCGGGCATCAGCCCCGTGGCTATAGCCATCTCAGCCTCCCACACTACTTCCTGATACCCTGGGTCCCGGGGAAAGTTATTGCCATACATCGTCTCATACTGGGAACTCTCTGTGGGGCACACCACTCCGTGAGGAGAGGGGTCCTCTTTCTCAACTATCTCAATCTGGTCACTATCCGTCATTTTACTTCTTTAGAGACAATATTCCAGACCTAATGTCCCATTCGAGATGACTTTATCAGTAGTGGAATTGTCTAGAACAGCCTTGGGCTGCTTGCAATAATAAACAGTGTTATGATAACGACGGTGACTTAGATCCGGGCACTGCAACATCACAGGATGCACAATTGGGCGGGAGTACTAAGTCTACTTTCACTTTCACAGCTACCTCATAGAGCATTCCTATTTTGACTCATATGTTAGTATTTTCTGATAGTTTAAGCCAGAATACATTGCAAGTTTTAATACATTCATGACCAATATTTAAGAGCTCAATGTCGTATGACAAACACAGTTTGTAGATTTAACGTTATCTGTTGATGAAGTCGAGAAAATCCGAGATTTCCTGTTCATGGCTGACACACAGCTTCCTGCATAGCAAGAATAATATCTTTTTTGTAAATGTTTCCTTGTTTATCAGTGGCACAACGATCACATGTTTTGACGTGGCCAAAACATAACGAGTGAACAGTCAAAGGGAGATTACTCTAATTAGTCACTTATCAAGGGATCGTCTCAAAGTCTAAGACGTGTTTAGCAGTAAAGCAGAAACCAGCGATATGACTATAAATCAGCCGCTTGTCTGGGAACTAACTGTTCGGCATTAATTAAGAGTTTTAAGATTAAAAGAAAAAGTATAGTGAATTAAAAGGCAGCAATGAATAAATACCATGAACAAGAGGCAAATGGGCCACATAGCTCACCTGGTCCTGGGATTGTACTAAAATGTTGTAGAAGTCAAGCAGAACAAAATTAAAATATTTTTCAATATTGCTTTGCAAAAGTTTTGTTATCTGCAAATTTAGAGATTAATTCAATAATTAATTAACATTTTATAGGTGGTTGAAAATTTGACTTTAGTGTAGGTCTGTTTCATGATCCTGGGACCTGAGCAGACTTTGGCTAGAAAAAAGCAGAAATCAGTTCAGTATTAAATATATGTGGTCCCACCCTACCCCACCCCCCTCTGGGAGGGGCAGGGGAGGGGACATGTTTTGAAAAACCTTGAATCTATACTAGGGATATCAACGAATATTTATTTGATAAGTTGATATTCGAATATAAATTTATGATTCAATATTCATTTTTTCCCCTTCTTTTTTGCATGTATACTTAAAAAGAGAAACAGTTCTGGCAAATTTAATTAGAAAAGTGTTTCAATTAATCAAGTTCAACTTCGATCCCTTCTTATTGGATGTTTTCAGAAGAAATTTCAATCCCATGAAATAAAACTTTTGGCAAAACAAGAAGAACTTCCTCTTGGACAATCTAAAAATCTTGATTTTTTTTTTAATGTATCAAAATAAATTGATTTATTTGATTATTGGATTATTTTTATGAAAGTAAGGCAATAATAAAAAAAATCTTAGATTCTCATCCAATTTTTTTGAAAAATCGAGGTGGGCAAGCAGATTTTATTTTATATTTTTATTTTTTCCATTGTGCAGATTTTGTGTTGACCTGATCATTTGGTGCAGTTTTATCTATAATGCCCATATAAAAGTCATAGTAGAGGTCCATTTAAATATGTATATCTCTTACTACTCATCACAACCAGCCTTTCACAACCAGTGATCAGGGGTGTGCAATTAAAAAAATTAAGCACTAGCCCACAGGCTAGTGACAGCAATAAAATTACTAGCCCCAAGTAAAAAGTTACTAGCCAAAATGTAGGGGATGGGGGTGGGGAATAACAACTAATATTGAAAAAGTAGTTCATTGTTGAAAAAGTCAGGGTTTTAATGTCGCTCTTTTTAAAGGTGCTTGGACACAGATTTGAAGTTAATATTTTCTCAGATTTTCGGTATAATATCATGACTTATATGTTTTTATAGCATTTCACATGGAAATAAAATAAAAAACTTATTTTATCTGGAAATTATTGAAATTACAAATTTCGGGATGCATTTTATTGACACATAGATCTATGCACTTTCACAAAGTAAACTTTATCCTTAATACTTAAAGGGTTTTTATCACGTCTCAAAATTTTTTGATATGACAAAGTTTACAAGTTAAATAAATCATATATTTAAGATTCTTTGCTAGAAAATTAATATTTTTGATGTTTCAGCGATTCAAAGTTTGAATTTCTCAATATGCATATTTTGATCGCTGATGTAACGCCATTGCTCTGACGTCATAGGTGTCAATCCTGGTCAAGCGAAGTACTTTTTGTGTATACAAAAGGCCTCATTTGTTACATCTATTAAACCTGTTAGAAAATAATTAAGTGATAATTGGATAATTGACAGCTATTAAGATATAATTTGTGGCTTTAGGATGCACAAATGCGCACAAGAAAGGTTTCAGGAAGAATTTTTTTTCCACATTTCCTGGACTTGGTCGAGAGATGAAAGGGGGGCTTTTTCTGCAAACGCAATGGCGTTTATCTCCATTCAGAACAATGATATCATTTATGCCTGATCTCGAATATAAAATATTTTAAGGAAAAGATACCTTTTTTTTTAAAAATAAATGTCCAACATGCATTTTTTAAAAGTCTCACAGAATCTTGTAGGAATGTTGTGAACTTCGTAATGGCGTACGGTGCCATTGAAGAAGTGTCACTTCTAGTACATGATATTCACCCTGTTCACTGCTGGAACAGATAGAAGATATTCAGGATTTATTTATATATAAACAATTGAAGTAAAGAAGAAGGAGAATTAAAAATTCCCATATTCATAAATATTTACAAAGTTAAACTTTAGTAATTTCGTTCTATTTTGTAGAAGTCCCGAGTTGTCAACGGCTTCGTCTTCGGTGACCTCTCCAAATGTCGGCATACTTTCTGGTTATTTCTCTCTGTTAGACATTCATACATAAAATATTTACCGTCCATAATCAAAGGAATATGGCCGATGTCAAAATTTCAACCCGCCATATTGTGTAGTCTATTTATTTAACATAAAAATCTATGCAATATATTTTTTCTTACGATAAGCTGTAAGAGTTCTAATTGACCATTGACACCTATGACGTTTCAGTACCACATGACCCCTATCTAATTAGTGGAGGTTTTTACTTCGAGGACCCTTAGTATTACGGGCGTTTTACACTCTTAAGTACGACCTTTTTCAAAATTATTTCATAATTACATGATAATTATGTGTTTCAAGAATATAATAGCGTTTCATTTTAAAGAATTTATATACGTGATAAAAACCCTTTAAGAAAAGTAGAAATTTTGTTGTGCATTAATGAAAAATATTAAACTATAATCCAGAAAATAAAGAGTAGAAATGTGAGAATTACATGTAAAGCAAAACCAACTCACCAGTATTGTAAGTCTGTGCTCAGTGATGTGTGCAGAGTTTAACAAATTGAACACACCCGGTGAAATGTAAACATTAACAATAACAGAGCTCGTGCCCCTTTTACAAAAACAGTTTATGTTTCACAGGTGTGTTCAATTTCCAGATAAAATAAGTTTTTAATTTTATTTCCATGTGAAATGCTATAAAACATATAAGTCATGATATTATACCAAAAATTTGAGAAAATATTAACTTCAAATCTGTGTCCAAGCACCTTTAAAATTAAAGTTTAATTCTCACGTCAAATATATTTTATGTAAACAACATAACATTTATCTTTCAGTTGAATGAGTGATCGTAAATAATTTAATGAGATATCTGCGATGCGATTTTTGTGCAACATTTAAGAAAATGTTTAAGTGTCCATCACGTGATCAACACAGTCATGTGACATCACATTATGCTTTTTTTGTAATACCTTATTCGATCAACTCTCTTTACACATTAACTGTGCATGTATACACAGCTTAAAAATTGAAATCAAAACATAGCCCAACATAAAATAGTATATATCTAATGCATATTAAGCCTTTGGACAGGCTTAATTAACATAGCTGCAAAAGATTTATTTTTTTCAGTCTGGATTGAGATGTGGAATTAACAAATGAAATAATATAATTTTTCAGTAATCATGATAATGTATTCTACAAAATTTTTAAATGTCGTTGAAAAAACATGTACAAACAACAGACACTTATTCTGTAATAAATTTTTTACCGGTGCAGTAGTACTATATCATAGTGTAAAAAAATTAATAGTTACAATCGAACTTTGGTATCTTGAACACTGATATCTTGAATACCATGAATATGTCTAAGGAATTAGGTACCGTCTCCTGTTATCTTTCCCTTAGAGGGCGCCACAGGCAAACTCGGTCCCGTATCGGAATACCCTCGCGCATTATCAGTATCTAACTATCGAAGAAAACGTAAACAAACCGCTGTCAATCTCTTTTTTAACATGCCTGAGACTTGCTGTTGTGTACCAGAATGCAGTAATCGAGGTGGACATGTGTTTCCCTCTGATCAATCAAGAAGAAAAATTTGGATCCATGCAATTACACGCGGCGAAACCCGTTTTTAAAGTTGGGAACCTTAGACACATGCTGTTGTATGCAGGGTACACTTTAAAGCTGATGACTACGTAACTGAACTGAAACTCAACACGGTATTTATTTATTTTTTAATCAGCTTAAAACTTTATTAACAAAAAATATTAAGAAAAAGTTGCATTTTCCATGTAAATACTTTAATTGCATGTAAATCAATTTACGATGAACCTGTTCCAGACACTGACACATGCATGCCAATATTTGACTCCCGCTGACATTACCGATTACACTTGTGATCCAGTAAACAAGAAGCATGTCTGGCAGCTCTATAAAACTTCTGGTAATCTATTTATGCATATGTAATAAGCATGATAAGAAATCGTCTTTTGTTTACCCTTTTATTTTCATCTCACACTGTTTAAATCTCTGCATGAACAGATGAAGTCTGACAGATGTTCGGACTTTGTATAAGTATGGATAATAATGTAACTAATTACTGGCTAATTCATGTGAATTATATATATATATATATATATATATATATATATATATATATATATATATATATATATATATATATATATTGAATAAATTAAGATTCATATTTTGTATCTTACTAGATAATAAAATTTTAAACATGTTAAAAATTTGTTTCAAATAAATTATTTTCAAGGAACTACACCCCTAAGTAAAAGACTTAAGAAAAGTGCGGTCCCTAGTATTTTTTCCTGGGTTGAGCCAAGTCCCCATTCACAAGACAGATCTGATAGAGCAAAGTCCAGGGGTATCAAGCGAAAATTAGCAGAGGAATTTTCTTCCCAGTCAGAGGATGTAGAAATTATATATGCAAGTGATGAACTGCAAACAACCGAAGAAGTAGTTTTTGATTCAACAATTGTAACTGAAGCTTCAGAGATACCCAAAGTTGAAACCAACATTTATTTTCAAAATGTGGAGACCCAAACACCTAAATATCCTCCAATGAGCATAGACAATTTTACAAATGATGATGCTGGTGTTCATTTCTATACTGGCCTAGAAACACTACG